TTGCCCGCTAGCAAACTCGGTAGTGTGATAATGATGCAGCCTGAATTATTTTCCCAGTTGCTATCCTGTTGTACCAAATGACTAATGAAGCCAGATCTGAGGGCACGCTCTCCTTGATCACTTTGACACTCTTGACCTGGAGTTAGTTGGTAGATGTGGCATCCCTTCTTTCAGGGTCTCTGAGCTTTGAATGTTGTGTCTTTGAGTGAGTTGTATAAAATGAATCCCACAGCAGCTAAAACTCTTTGTTTAGAATCCTCACAGAGGACTTTGAAGTAATGTGTACATTCTGCCAATGTCACATCAATATGAAAGTAATCCAAAACATAATGCATTTTTCTGACTTCTCAATTTAAGTCATGCATTGAACCCCTGTAAACCTAGGTCTAAAAGCACAGTTAGTACGTTAATGTTATAACCATCACTTGGGATATGAAGCACACATTCAAAGGGACTTATTGAACGTTCCTATTCTTACTTGTTAATTCACTGCCCAATTCATGTCACAATTGTTAATGGTAGCTACATTTACAGAGCTGACTTATCATTGGGGTGCTTCAAAACTACCCATGACAAATCCTGTAAGTGCCTCTTTCAACTGTTCTAGATATCGTTATATAAATTAATTTTTTGACCAATTTAAGAATTTGCAGTATACATTGCAAGATATATTGCTTCCTCAAATCAGTGAACTAAAAACTTAAAGGAGAACTATGAGATGAGTGATTTCCACTCACCTCATAGTTCTAAGCCGACCTGTGACAATGAGACTGTCACAGGTCGGCTCAGTAGATCGGGAGGTGAGGGAACACATAAGGGGTTCCCTCACCTCTCGATCCTGTCATGGCTCTCTGCCGTGACAGGGGGACTGGCTGGATTCCCCTCTCCCCGCTCCGATCTGCCAGCGCTGACTGGCGGAACGGACGGGGGAGGGGGCGGGTACAGCTGGCTCTGCCTCTAGATAGGCAGAGCCAGCAGTCACTCACGCAGCTGGGCGGATCCCGTCATCTACGTCGGGATCCGCTCCAGGTGCGGCGTCTCAGTATACTGAGTATACTGAGCTTAGGGTAACGGGAGGACGCTAGTTTGTGTCCTCCCGTTGCCCTAAGGAGAACTATGGGGAAAAACACTGACCCCATAGTTCTCCTTTAAGCTGTGCTTGAAGACTGGTGATTTCCACTTTTGTTAAATGCTTCTTGGCATGTCTGCATGCCAAATAAATCGGAAATCCCAAAGTTTCTGGTTGCTGGTAATTTCATGTGTGAAATCTGTAATTTCCTTTAAGCTTTGGCTGAACAAAACTATCTAAAATTCCAGAAGAATTCAGAAGCACTAAGATAAAACCAGGAAACAATTTCTCTGTGCAGTCTGAGGCTACCAAAGTAAGCACTAAATATCAACCATTTGTGAACCAGACTGTGGGAGGAGTAGAACCATAAATGAAAGTCGGAATGTAAAACTGGAAATCTGAAACAATATTTAGTTTTAGGAATTCAGTTAAAATGTATATATGGCAATATGATGGTGCCTTTAGCTGTTGGGGAACAGCTGCAAAATAGGTTTTGGTTTGCGGCACGATGGGGTCACTTCAAATCCAGGGGGTTTTAGGTTCACGGTATGGGAATATTATGTTGGAATTTGCATATACTGTATAATAATGGACAATAATAGGTCTTTGGTATGTGCCAGCCTTTTTACTATAAAATACAGGTATTCCTCACTTAACGACCGAGTTCCGTTCCTACGACCAGGTCGTTCAACGGATTGGTCGTTAAGTGAGGAACACTATACAGTACTGTACTGCATTAGGACAGTACTGTATAGCGTTGCCGATGTACAGTACCGAACAGTGTACTGTATATCCGGCAATGGAAATACTTACCGAGACCTGCAGTGAAGATCGGGGGATGTCACTTCCGCCGGCGACCCGTCGCACTGACGCTGACGCGCGAGGTCGGAGGTCGATCGGCGGTCCGTCGTAAGTGCGAGTGGTCGCAAAACAGGTAAGTCGGTAAGTGAGGAACATCTGTAGTGGGTTCCCAGCAGCCATTTGTCAGTATGTGTTGGAGCAGTTTGGGGAGAGTTGACAGGCTCTGTAGGGAGAGTGAGTTGCTATGCAGTGCTATATTGTGCACATTTACTGTGAATTGCAGTGTGCGAAGGGGCTACATATTCTTGGGTACCCCCTTCCTGTGTTCGCAGTCCAGAGATTCAACAGTCCATTTTAGGACCTCTTTTTCTGATATTTAACATGTATTCTTTATTTATGAGGGGGGTATTTTTGTTCTGTTTTTTTTTAAGGAGGTATGTTTCATTCCATTTTCTATTGCTAGGGCCTTTTCCTTTTCTGGATTCAGAGCATACATTTGTTGCTGACACAGGCAAAGCTGCCGTTTGTATGCAGTCCATTGCCACATACATGTTTGATAAAGTAGTGTGCACAAACGCATAACATATTTTAGCTACCATAGCTGCTAATAAATTTAAGCAACCTCTGTTATTTAAAAAAAAAGTAAAATAGGCCTAAACTGAGAGGCAGAGGATCTGCACAGGAAGATAGAACAGGGTGAACAGGTGGTGTGACAAAATCATCTAGAGGCAGGGCATATCTGTCTTTTCTATCCCAGAATGGCTGTACTATAAAGCACCATCACATGCAGATTGTAGTCAAGTGGCTGAAAAAGCCATTCTCTTTTCCCCCTTCCAGGTGCAAATTGTTTGCAAGGGTTACTAAAGCGCCCTCTCTCTTCTGCTCACCCCACCATAGCCCCGCAAACTGGCTATGAGGAGATGGCAAAATTGTTTGATAACATGATCGCTGACTTGCTGCAGAAGGATGATCTGAACAAGCATTCCTGCTTTTAGATATTGAGGAAGAAAGCACCATGACTGACTGACACATCAGTCAGAGGAAATCAGCAGGGAGCAACAAGAATTAGTGATGTTTCAGCAGTTGGAGCTTACTGTAAAATGGGCTTTAGCGATGATAAGTGGGTGGATGATGAGGTGGTAGACCTTCTGTAAGAGCCACTGACTGCAGAGGGGAAAAGTTCTGAGGGAGAGGAAGAGCAGCAGTGAAGAAGGATTTTGTCCAGCTTGCAGAGGACTGGAGAGAGTAGCCGTCTGAATCCATCTGACTGCACTGCCCCATAGGCACAGGTCACTGCTATCCCCAGGGCCAGTCCACAGAGCTCTTCAGTGTGGGACTTTTTTTAATATATCTGCTCTACACAAGTAGTTACAAAAGAGGTCAGAGAGTTTCAACCCAGTGATCGAGTTCTAGTATTTGCCCCAACTGTGGAGAACAAATTCCCTGCAAAGTGGCGGGGACCCTTTGGAATAGTCAAACAGAAAGGGTTAAAGGAGAACTATGGGGTCAGTGTTTTTCCCCATAGTTCTCCTTAGGGTAACGGGAGGACACAAACTAGCGTCCTCCCGTTACCCTAAGCTCAGTATACTGCGAGCTACAGCTCGCGGTATACTGAGACGCCGCAGACGGAGCGGATCCCGACTTAGACGGCGGGATCCGCCCAGCTGCGTGAGTGACAGCTGGCTCTGCCTATCTAGAGGTGGAGCCAGCTGTACCCACCCCCTCCCCCGTCCGTTCTGCCAGCCAGCGCTGGCAGATCGGAGCGGGGAGAGGGGAATCCAGCCCCTCCCCCTGTCACGGCAGAGAGCCGTGACAGGATCGAGCGGTGAGCGAACCCGGTATGTGTTCACTCACCTCCCGATCTACTGAGCCGACTTGTGACAGTCTCATTGTCACAGGTCGGCTAGAACTATGAGGTGAGTGAAAAGCACTCACCTCATAGTTCTCCTTTAACTATCAGTTCTACAAGCCCATGAAGAGAAAGCCCTACCAAATTTAGCATGTTAACCTGATCAAACCGTGGAAAGAGAGAAGCATTCACAGTAGACCAGACAATTCAAGACACCCTACGTTGGAGGGGTTGTTTTAGTATGCTGAAATCCCTATTGGGATGCACCATTCAGGTAGCCACAGACAAAATCCTGAGACTCCATAAGAAATTTCCAGGGGCTTACTTAGATGACACTGTATGCTCCTTCTTTGGGATTGTGGAATATTTTTGGAGATTTTTCCCCAACTTTGCCAGCTTGGCCATTGCCAAAGGAAAAAGTAGTAGCCCAGGACTTTCTGAAAGAGTTCCTCAAATGAAAAGATGCTTTAAAACTGGGCTTGGGTGCAGTCTTGTCCCAACTTGTTGGGTGAAAATAGCACCCAGTTATGTACTTGAGCTGGAAACTCATTCCGCGCAAAAACAAAATATTTTCAACTGTAGAAACAGAGTGCCTCTCAATAAAGTGAGCATTGAAGACACTTTGGTAATTGTTGTTGGTCTGGCTCTTCAAACTGGTGTCAGATCATGTCCCTGGAAGGCACAGAATAAGTAGACATGGATCACCGGGTGGTTTCTCATTCTCCAGGATTTCAATTTACAGAGGTGCATAGACCTGGAAGAGTACACCAGAATGTGGACACCCTTGCTGGGGTGTATTGTCTTTTTGGAGGAGTATTTAGACCCCTGGCTTGAAACGGGGAGAGGGGAGATGTAGAGTGAGCCTGGGGCAAAACAAATGGGGACTTCATTTGTAAAAGCCATTACTTCCTCTTCAGACCTGTACAATTACCTGTCTACTATTAAGCACAGGTGAGTTTAGAGAGGACTGCTGGTGGAGACAGAGAGGAGAAACTCTTTCTGTAGCTGCTAGGGAGCAGGAGGATTGTGCTGACAGCCAATGCAAGGTGGGAAACTGCTTGAGAGCACAGGGCTGTGCAATTTTCTATTTGGATCTGTTTGTTGTTTTACCTTATTTTTTAAGCTAATAGATTTTTGTTTCATCCTTTTGCTAATGAAAGCAATTTTAATTTGTTTTTGGCTGACATAAAGCGGACTTTACCCTTGATCCCCACCTATACCTATACATGTATGGCTTATGGTCCTACAACAACTGCAATGATTGCTTTCAGTGTCACTTACCTCCCAGTTCTCTCCACAAAGGTTAAAAATAAATGTATCTTCTTCAGGTTCCTCTTTGATGTTAAGGGCCTTCTTTGCAACAAAAGAAAATCTTTCATGTTTATCCAAAGTTTTAAGTTCAGTGTCTACAAAACCATTCTGTAAGTACACAGACTGAGGGACTCCACTGTTCTTGCATTCCAGTATAAAGTTCCATTCCTGTTTTATCCTGCAAAGACAGAACATTTATTGTACAATACCACTTTTATCCTCTTCTGCTGTCTGCATACTATACATTAAAATATTACATAAAAAAGAACACTTTTTGTGTCTATTTGAAACATTTTCTGACAGACTGATAACTGTAAGTATAATATTACAGGCTAGAAGAATCTGTCAGAGCTCATATTAGGTTTATTAATATGTATTTGGAATTTCTTCATTAGCAGAGCTGAAATACGTTTTGAAAACTGCTGTTTGGTGGTCATTATGGGAAGCAAGGAAATGCATAAGCAAGGGTAAAGCTGGCTTTACACTGCTCGAAATTCAGCTAAGCCCTGCTGACTCCAAAATTCAAGTTGTGTGTGGCAGTGTCGGCACCACTCTGTTCCACAAAAGTCGCTTTTTTAATCAACTTTTGTAAAAGGAGCCAGTCTGAAAAGTCTCAGCCGAATGGGTACTGTTTGGAAATTCTGACAGTGGCAAAGCCACCACTGTCGGAGTACAACAGCTCGGAGGGGGGATTTCCCTATCCACACTGCTTAGCATGTATGAGGTAGCTGAGTGTTTTTTCTCTTTCAGCTTGCTGGGCTGAACGAGAAAAAATAACCACTATATGGCCAGCTTAACAAATACTATTAGATCCATAGCCATTTAAGAGCCTTAGCTGCCCTTAGTGCTAATTTCATTCTGACTAATTACACCAGTAAAAGCTTTAGGTCATGTGTTATCCAGAACAAGCTTCTATGTGGATGGGAGGTGTTAGTGGACCTCTTATCAGATATAGCTTTTCATGTGTATGATTACCTCTCAAAGATCACAGTCCTCGCCTTGATAATGCCTTCATCTGATTTTCCCTCAAAAAGAATGTCACATCTGTGTTCAGGGACTACCCAGAGTCAGCATCTACTTCCAGACTTAGATGCTGGCTAAAAAATTATCCAATCATTTAATTCTTGGTGCCTCTTCAGTTCTTCAGACTTTACCACCTCGGTCAAGCAATCCGCAGTGCATTGATTTTCAGGGGATGGTTGAATGGCAGTTAACAGGTCGATTACAGGTGTTGTTCAGGAGGCAATGCTGCCACCTCCTGAATGCCTGTTTTTTTGTGCTTTTTTCATTGCAATAGCGCACTGCAGCAGTATACCAAGCATTTGGCAAGCAGTTGTGGCACAGTCCTATTGACTGCAAAGAACGCAAATGGCAAGCAACACCACCTGCCAACAGGCCTAACAAAGATAAGTCCCTTGTCCCTTATTTCAGCCTCTCATCTTTGATTGGGAGAGAACACAGAATGACTGCCCTTCAGTAAAACTGAGAGAACAAATAAATTGTGAATAATTGCAACTATCTACTACATTGCTAGCGGAAGATAATTTGTGTTTTTGAATGATTTATTTTAAAGAAAAAAATTGTAAAGACTCTGCTGTGCAAGCCTAGGATCGCAACTGCGGAGAGGGTTCTTCACGGTTTGGTCAGTAGGCGGTCTCGTTTTAAACTCTCTCAGCAAGTTAGAGAAGTGTTTGAGACTGGTAACATCATGTGAACCGTGGGGAGAAATAGGGTCTGTGGTAAATAATAAAGGTTGGAGGAGTAAGAGTTAACTTTGACAGGGTCACTCTCTGGTACTACACAAGGTATCTGTATATACTCTCACTATAGATGTAATAGTTGGCAGTGTTTGAGTGGTGGCAATAAGGTAAGTCCCAGGTGTGGGAATCGGTGGACGATAACTTATTCAACTTGTACACACTTTGTTCCTTCAGGAAGGTATGATAAGTCCAAGCATTGAAATAACATCAATATGTCAGTAATGGCAGTATTGCCCCAGATACTTGCGGTTATGGAGCCTCAATATGGATAACTCCTATGGATGGTTGTGATGGAGTCTAGCAGACCATACTGCATAAGTCCTGGAGGATCTGGGTAGCAATCGGCTGTCGTGCACTCCTGTAGTGTGAGGGTTACCCACGATGTGGAAGTACAATGGTGTTTGTCTGGGTCCGTCTGAACGGTCTGCGGTTGCAGAGCGTGAATCTTTGGCGTTCACTGTTACAAACAGTAGGACGCCGAAGATTCATTTGGCCGCGTCTTAAGAGGTCTCCTGCGCCAGGAGGAGCCAAGGCCCGACTGAGCGTGCGCCGGAGGGAGCCGCTACGGCCCGTGGTGCGCATGCGCGGTTCCGGATCGTTGGGACGGGACAAGGTAAGTTTCTTACAAAAATGTAATTTAAACATGAGTTCACTAGGTCATCAGGTTGGTATTTGAACGTAAGGGGGTAATACAATGAAGAACTGCAGATTCCAAGAACTGTCCTGTCATAGACTGTCCACTTCCAACTGCCAGAAATAGTAGGTAGGATACACCATGTTGCTGTTAACTCAGTTTTAGTGTTCACAGAAAGGTTTAAACGGGAAGCTTTCATTCAGCCACCACTAACCTTTGACACCCAGGTACTACAGCGCAGGATTGGTAACTTCATAAGGGTATGCCATTTAAAACAGGGTCAAGGAGTGCAGAAATGCTAAACTGAAAGTTCCAATGTCTGGTTTCTCCTTTAGTAAATTGCAAGCAGGTGTGGATTTCCAGTTGAGAATAATTGGTATGCTATTGCTGTTGCTGTGCTAAACTGTGTAGTAGTGTTCTGAAACAAACATAGAGGCTCAAGTTGTTGAAGATAACTACCTCATTACCCTGGTCTGTGTGCATGACTCATCTTTATCCTACATTAGTAAAGGCTAAAATTAGGTCTGCAAATTTAGTGACTCTTACAGGTTTTCCCATCCATATCATTGTCCTATATTTTTCTTTTTACTGTTTGCATGCCTAAAGTGACCCTGCCAGCTTACAAACACAATAAGGATAAGAATGTCCGGCAAAGGAAGATACTCACTTCTGCCAACCCATGTCTCCCACCTTTCCTCCATTCCAGCACTGCAGCCACCATCAGTGTCTTTGGGGTTCAACACATCCAGAAATGCCAAATGACTGTATCTTTCACCATGCGCTGTGGTTTTTCTAACTCCTACATCACTACAGGACTCAGCAGTAAAGTAGGAATAGGAAGAAGGAAACACAGCAGTGGTGAGGAACACAGGCATTCGACAGTCCCGGAAGTGTTGAATGACAAAGACACTAATTGAGAATGAGGTGCTGGAAAAATGAGAGGAAAATAAGGGACTTCAGATAGTTGAGAATGAGACTTCTTCTTTTGTAGAACATGCTCCTCTTTTTGTGTTATTAAGCTGGCGGGTTGCCATAACTGAAAACCTCTACTATTTGCATGTTTAAACGAAACCCTTGAAACTAAAAACCTAAAGGAATCTCTAAAATCAAAGATATGCCTTTATTGGCAAATAGCAATCACAGTTTTTGATTTCAGTTTTTATTTCAGGAAATAACTCTGATGAGTGCAGCAAAGTCAACAAAATATTGTAATAATTGCTGCTGTTTAGTACTTAATTACATAACTCTTAAGCTGGCCATACACCTTACAATTATCTGCAGATTTTCTGTGGTCAGATGGAAAAGGTGCAACACATCCCTCCATCTACACTTAACTGTGTGGATGGAGTAATCTCCACCTGGGCCAATCTGTTGCACTTTTTCCATCTGACCACAGAAAATCTGCAGATAATTGTAAGGTGCATGGGCACCTTTAAAGTAGTATGAAACTCTCAAACTTGTTTTCAATAATGGATCCAGATCAAAAAATAAACATTGCCCAGCAAAGCATTGCATTACATTTTTGCCCAAACACATATAATCATCATGTTTTTGAACAGCTGCCTCCAAGTCTCTCAGCTCAGCTTCCCTGAACGTACTCCCCAGTACAAGGTCACAAAGGACAGTACAGACTCCAGCAACTGTTCATCTACTAGCTTGATGGAAGAAGAGGGGCCAGGGGGGAGGAGAGTAGCTTGATTTGCTGTGTCTGTGTGTTTGTGGAGACACACACAGCTTACTAGCACACACAAGGGTGACTGCATAGCACTCTGCTTAAGAGAGGAGTCACTCTAAGGCCCGTTCACATTGAACGATTTATCGCATGGTAATTCCCGCGATATCGCGGCTATTTACCGCGCGATATCGCTCTTCAATGCATCTCAATGGGGCAAAGGGTCCAGCTGTCGCGGGTCGTGTGTCACTACAGCAGGACCCTTTTTGGAGCGGATTTTGCCGCGATTCTCGCTTGCTCAATGCAAGCATTTGCGCGATATAGCTCGAAATGCAAATTGTGCGACAAACGCACGATTTGCGAATCACGCAATGTGAACGGGGCCTAAAACAGGAAGTCAGGACCAGTGCTCAGGGTACCAGCTGATTCTGCAGGAAAATAAAACTTTTAAACAACAAGAATCAGCATTCATAGTAAGTCAGCATTTGAAATAGCTTAAAATCCTTTTGACTTTAATTTATTTTACACTGCTATCTACACGAGTTCCTTCTACTATTACTGAAAATATCTCTACGGCATCATTAAACCTCTAGCAAGGATACAATAGATTTTCAAAACGCAGACGAGAATCACCACAAAGTGTAGTAATTGTCAAAGCATTGTCTTTTAAATCTTTTCAAAGCTATGATATGATAGTGAATGCAATAAAAATGTTACTGTCCATCAAATAATAGTGACTGCAGTCATCAACTATATGTATAGTAATTATTTTAAGAATCTAAATATCGTTTTACCTTGTTTTCTATGTGAGAACTGCGTATAAATAAACTGCTGTGACACATGGTCATTATCTGGCTGTGATTTCTGCAGGCTCAGACAACAATTTATGTTTATGTGATACAAACAACTGCAGGAGGTAATCTTGGGGCACTTCTGTCTAATATACTGATTCTTGGCCAAGATAGAACATTTTGGCTCGTAATTGTGATGTTGGCGGATTTTTTTCTAGACACCTAACTGCCAGTCAAACAATGTCACTGAAACATATTATCAACTGCTACGTACATCACTCTACACTAAGGGCAGTGAATTTGCAATGCTGGTAATTCTCA